ATTAATATTAGACAAAATGATGTTTTAAGTTATATTTTTCAAGTTTATTTAAAAAAAATATTTTCAAAAAGTAAGTATTAAAAAAAGATTTTAAAAAAAGATAGCAACCTACAAATGCAATAATTGTCCATTTTAAGCAAAGAAACATTTTTCTTTAAATAAAGAATACCTTTTAACAAAAAACGAAACCGCAAGCAGTTTAGAAGCAAACTTCTATATAAAAAAAGTTTAAATGTGTTCCTTAGACGACAAAAAAAGTTAAGGAAAAGTTCGTGATAGGGTTAAAAGCATTGGTTTGACCCAAATGGAATTAGAAATTCTTACAAAAGCTCTGCCAAGAAATTGGTACAATGAAATTCTAAAGAAATGTCAAAGTTATGATTTTAAAAAGTCTTCATTTTGTTTTAGCTAAAAGGAAAACAAAATACGAATATAAAAATTTAACTGTCTTAACTCTTTACAAACTATTAAACAAACCAACAAAACGTTTAGACTATAAATTTTATAAATGGAAAGATGTTTTTGAAAGCATGAAAAATATAAATGAAAAAGATTGGAAACATTTCTTTATAAAACTTCAAAAAAGTAACACTAAAAACAAAGCGTGCGAAATTCTATTTAAAACAGCACACTTTTTGTTGCCAACTAACGATAAAATGTTTGATTTTAAAATAAGAAAAGACAAACTTTGCCCACAGTGCAAAATTAAAAATGAAAACACTGCCCACATGATGTATGAATGTGAAAAAGTACAGCCATTAATATTTTATGTTCTAGATATTTTAGACCAGCTCTACCCTAATGAATACCCTCATACTAACAATTTTAAATTTATTTTATTTGGATATGAAAAAAACGCAGCCCAGAGGCTTTTTGGCAATTTATTATTAGAAAGTTTTATTTGTGAAATATATTTTAACAGAATGAAAAGTCAATTCGAAAAGAAAACTTTCACTAAGAAATATTTGCTAGAAAATTTTGATAGAAAAGTCAAAAGATTATTTTTAAATGAATTTCTAATGCTAAGACAACAAAATAAACAAAAAAAACACATAAACGAAATAAGAAACATTTTTAAAAATGGAAGATTAAATTTGATAGCAGATGTTCGTGACTATTTCGTATAATTTTCATTTTTTATTTATTTTTTCTTCTTTCGATCGTTATCTTCTTTAGTTTTTTATTCTATACAGGTCCAATAGACATCTTTGTAAACGTTTTTTTTTTTTTGTTTTTTGTTTTTTTTCGTTTATTTCGATTTTTTTTTAAACCTTGTATTTATTATGAGGACGTCAGTATGGCAATTAGCCGGATGACGGAATAAATTACAATACCAGTTCGTGATAGGGTTCGTGTAAGTAAACTCCAATCACTACTTTGTCGGGGTACTTTACTTAGGCTAAGCCTATCTAATAGTATGTATTGCACTCTCTAACATCGTGTGCAATCCTGTCCGCTTACTCTATGCTATCTTTCTAACTCGACTACTTCCATCTTTCACTCTAACATATCTTCGTTCTTCCCAAAATCACCTTACTCTCACTCCGTAGAGCGGGTATGACGCTCCTTCGGGAGCTCAACTAGTCTTTGCGGACTTCTGGTAAAGTGACCTCTGTATGGCAATTAGCCGGAGGAGGTAAAATCACAATACCCGTTGATATTAAGTGAAAGAAAGATAATAAAAATAATTTTTGACAGAACTAAGACAGATTCTTCGATATGATGTTTGAATGCGAAAAAATAATATTCAACCTTACAATTGTTTTTTTGTTTTTGATATTCATCAACGACATAATACAACATTATAATGTGTATGCAAACTTGACGCTGACGACAGCAAGCTACTAAAAATGATAAAAAAATTCCAGATACAATCAGTTTGAAAGAGGATATTAAAATATTAGTCAAATAGAAAAGTAGTGGGTAATTTTATCCACATAAAAAAGTATATGTATAAGGCTGTCCACATCGGCAAGAAGAGCCCTCAGACCATCTATAAGATGACATAAATTGATGCTGAATACAAATTAGGTAAAACAACTGTAGAATGTGACTTTGGCGTGTTGATATAATCAAACATCAAAAAGCATTGTCAAGACAACGCAGTAGCAACAAAAGCAAAGAGTTATCAAGCGTTCTTTAACTCATCGAAATATAGAAATGATATGTTCTCTGTAAACTTTCTACTTTTAGTAAAAGTAGAAAAATTATGAAGGTAAGAGTTAACTATAGACGTTCTATAGCGTTATTAAAAACCAAACAGAAAAAACAATTTATTAAATAGTTTTTAAAAAAATGCTAAAACTGATACTTTTTTGAAACTACTGCTACTTTTTTATACTGCTATTTTAGTTATTGCTACTAAAATAGCAGTATCAAAAATGAAGCAATTTCAGCATTTTTATAAACTATTTCGTAAATTGTTTTTTCTGTTTGATTTTTAACAACGCTATAGAACGTCTAAAGTTAACCCTCAGCAGTAACAAATTTCTTAATGACCTTAAAATTACTTTTAATTTCTTATACAAGAATTTGCAGAACATTTTAGCTGCTTCATTAGCCATAATATAATACTAAATACAAGTTTCTTTTATCTTTTTATCAAAAAGTCCGATACATTTTGTGTTGTAATAGATATCTAAACTTCATATATATATATATATATATATATATATATATATATATATATATATATATATATATATATATATATATATATATATATATATATATGTATAATATATATATATATATATATATATATAATATATATATATATATATATATATATATTTATATTTTATATTTATATATATATATATAATATATATATATATATATATATATATATATATATATATATATATATATATATATATATATATATATATATATATTAATATATATATATATATATATATATATATATATATATATTATATATATATATATATATATATATATATATATATATATATATATATATTGTAAACAAATATTCATTAAATCACAAAGTTGATAAACAGAAAAAAAAAATCAAAACTTCATATATATATATATATATATATATATATATATATATATTATATATATATATATATATATATATATATATATATAAATATATATATATATATATATATATATTATATATTGTAAACAAATATTCATTAAATCACAAAGTTGATAAACAGAAAAAAAAAATCAATTTAGTAACGTTTTTTTCAAAAAATACGAAAATTACAGGATTTTTTTCTTAAGGACCTCATCAAGTTTTTATATATTTATATTTTACTTTTGTAACTGAGCTGTAAATGAATTAGCATCTTTAAAATAACAAAAGAGAAACGCTTACAAATATTCATAATTGAAAACTATGATGAAAAGTATTTTTTTTTTAGATACTTTGAAATAGAATCTTTTTGACTTGATTAAACTGATATGCCTTCAAATATCTTAAAAGGCTACAATTATCGACTTAAAAAAAAAAAGGATCTTTTACTTGGTATTTAATTTTGTTACAAAACGTTACTCAAGCATTTTCAGCTCCAAAAAGAAAAACATTTTTTACAAAAGATATTAACAACAGCTTAAATAAATTTAAAAAAACCCGAATAATTACAATTATTTTTAAACATTAGTTAGACTCAGTTACTTAGCAGTTTTGTATATATATGAATTCATAGTATTTCCAATGCATTAAAAGGCTCTGATACTTTCATAACCACCAATTCAACTTGCAGAAGATTTGATATAATTTCAAACTTTGAATTTAAATGTGTTTTAATGTTAGTTTATGTCAGCTCTCTCTATAATTCTTAAGTGGTACTTTGATTTGTCCTCCTGCAGTCAATCGTCATATAGAGACAACATGAAAAGGCACGAAAACACAAGTTTAGATCACTAATTACCAGCTAGCACACTTACATTGGGGCAACGTATGTAAAACCATCGCAAACGTCGGCTCTCTATTTCAATGCAAAACCAACGTTGACCCAATGTTATTTGATTATAATTATAAAATTATTCACTCCGGAGCTAAAAACATCTGGAAAAATTACGTTATTCCAATAAATGTAAAATCATTGCAAAAAATTGATTGTTTTTACCATCTAAACCCAACGTTAATCGAGTTTATAGATTTCGACGTTGATTCAATGTATTAAAATGAACGTTTTTTTAATGTATATAAAAACATTGCAAAAATTTGATTGTTCTTAGGATCTAAACACAACGTTAATCCATTGTATTTATCTCGACATTAATGCAATGTATACAAATCAACGTTTTTTCAATGTACTTAAAAACATCGCAAAACTCAATTACTTTTACAATCTAAAACCAATATTGATCTAATGTATATACTTTGACGTTGATTCAATGTATATAAGTCAACGTTTTTCCAATGTATGTAAAAATATCGCAAAAAGTTGATTATTTTTACCATTTAAACCCAAAGACAATCCAATTTATAGATTTTGACGTTGATTCAATGTATATAAATCAACATTTATCCAATGCAAGTTAATACATCGCAAAAAATTGAATTTTTTTGCGAACTAAACCTAACGTTGATCCAATGTATGCGACCAAATATTGCTATTGCGAAATTACATAACTTAAATAAAATCGTCCGTGATTATTAAAATATCAAACCACAATTAGTACAAATATGATTTTTGGTCCGACAATCAAGCGGTAACAATATTAAAACAACGTTAGCAACCAATGTTATACCAACAAAACGCGCGACATAGTTCCAATGTTTTAACAACGTATGTGTTTTAGCTGGGTAAAGAGCGTCACTATCCACTTCAACGAAATAAGAGTAAACGAGTTTAAGAAGAACGAAGTAATTTAGAGTAAAACTCAAAAGTTGAGTTAGAAAAATAGCTTAGAGAGAATGAGAAGATATTGTACTGGATGTTGAATGTGTAATTTATTCAGGAAATCACTTTTTTTAATCAAATTCATTTTTAAATCTCTCTTTTTTTTTTTAGTTTGTAGAACTGGTTTCCAATTTAACCAATTCTCTAATCAATGTGAAGGTATATTTTATCCCTATAATATTTACGTTTTTGCGGCAAAAATAATGCAGCAAAAATAAGTTGAGCTATGATTTTATAATAAGGCATGGTGTATTTTAAAATTGAATTCTCTTGTTTTAAGGAGACCACTTTTGCGCTCCACCCGTAAGTATTAAACAGTTTAATAAACAAACACATATGGTGTGTTTTGGAGAAAAAAGTAAACAAAAATATTTTTTTGTTAAATAGTTACAAAATTTAATTTGAATGATAAACATTTTTTTTCAACTTTAGTTTTAATTTTATTTTAGTTTAACTTTAAAAACAAAAAGAGTTTATGTAACTTTTAAAATGTACATGTAACTTTTAAAATGTATGAAATTATTTTGAATGGTTATAATTTTAAATGCACTAATAAACATTTACATATTATTACTTTTAAATTTAAAATGTTCAAAACCTGAAGTGTAAAAGGAAACTCAAAAATTCCTTGATTTTCCAATTAATACGCCTATTTCAAAATTTAAGCTGAGTTTAAATGACATGTTTCTTTTTATTAATAATAATCTTAAGCCCTATATATTAATATTTATAATTTAATATAAACATTTAAGACCAATTTAAAACCTTAAAAACAATATTTAAATTTAATAAAACAGCATCAGATATTAACAAAGTTATATTAAAAAAATCGCTGAAAAATCAATATGCTGCTTTTAACGATTTTGATCTTAAAGTTAAGTAAATTTTTAAATGTTTCAAAAATATTTATTTTGTGAACTAATTATTACTATTTATGCATTTGTGTCAACAGACTCTAAAAGTGACCACGGTGTGATGATTTTTTCTAATATAAATAGACACATACAAGCAATAAACTGAACTTCTTAAGCCAACATTGTTTTGGGAGAAATAAAAGTGTTTTTATGAGTACAGATACAAAGCTTATCAAATATTTATGCATAACATTCATTTGCCTCTTGTAATGTAAGTAAATAAGAACAACATAAACTAGAATTGAGATGAAAAAAAATAATATAAAAGATAAAAAACATAAATTTTTTTTTGGGTTCTAAAAAAAGTTTGAATTTATTCACAATGACATAAAAATAGAAAAAATTGTTTTCCTGTTTATAAAAGAAAAAAATTTTATTAACTATTTAACTTTCATTAGGATCAATGGTAATGTTGGCAAATAGATTGTCATTTTTGACTAGTAGAAAACAACGAACTTTTTTAGGTAATCACTGTAGCGACTGGACAGATGTTTTAAGCGGAGTTCCACGAAGGTCAGTACTTGGTCTAACATTATTTATCAACTACATAAGTGACTTAACGGATAACCTAAAATCAGTTCATAAAATCTATGCTGATTATACTAAACTGGTGCAAGAAATAAGACCTGAGTTTCAAGATGCTGATTGTCTGATTTTTCAAAATGATTTAAACATAATCTCAGAGTGGTCAAAAAATGGCTTTTTGAATTAAATATAGCAACGTGTAAAGTTATGCACCTTGGTCATGAAAATATAAATCATGAATATGTAATGAATTATGGTAATACATCTCTTATTATAGCGTCAACAGATATTGAAAGAGACCTGGGTATCTTTATATCAAACTATCTAAAAAGGAATCAACACATACAGGTTGCAACACGTAGAGCATATATGATACTTAACTTATTAAAAAAAACATTTAGATCAAGAGATATAAAGCTTTGGGGTAAACTATTTACTACATATTTTATGCCACACCTGGAATTGGTGCAGCTCATATTCAGTAGAAGATGCACTGTTTGCAGCTGTAGGAAAAAAATGCTTGTCAGTTCTACTTTTGAATGCGTTAATTAACGGTCCTTTTTGCATGACATCTGTAAATTATTTCAATCATTCACAATACGATTTGTGAAGAAATTGTTTCGAGCTTTATTGCAAGTGAAATAAAGCGTTAGTACGTTGGATGGTGATCTGCTAAAGGGTGGATTATGCCAATTATTAATGTCAAAACTGATTCAAGTTTAAACTGTTGGATCAAGTCGCCACGTCGCCTGCGAGTTTCCAAATAAGTAAAATTGATACGCCGACACTTTGCAGCATTAGATAACCTTGTTAAATCATGAGGAATTTTTGCTGCTTTGTGCTTATTTGTTTCAATACCTTTGATGTCGCCCTTTAAGTAAGGACACCTTATATATACATGTATATGTATATATATATATATATATATATATATATATATATATATATATATATATATATATATATATATATATATATATATATATATATATATATATATATATATGTATATGTATATATATATATATATATATATATATATATATATATATATATATGTATATATATATATATATATATATATATATATACATATATATATATATATATATATATATATATATATATATATATATATATATATATATATATATATATATATATATATATATATATATATATATATATATATATATATATATATATATATATATACCCGACGGGCATTTGTTTTTAAAAGTTACGATCTAAATGTATTTTAAATGTCTTTTAAACGTTTATAAGACGTTTAAAACACATTCAGAACATAACTTTTAAAAACAAATGCCCGTTGGGTATATATATATATATTTATATATATATATATATATATATTATATATATATATATATATATATATATATATATATATATATATATATATATATATATGTATATATATATATATATATATATGTATATATATATATATATATATATATATATATATATATATATATATATATATATATATATATATATATATATATATATATATATATATATATATATATATATATATATATATATATATATATTGAATTATAATTGTTTTGTTTTTATCTTATTAAAATGGTTTAGTAATAGTTAGAATTTCTTTGAGTTCTTACATTATTTTGTGCAAGATTTTTTGTTAACTGATTGCCTGCTTCAGTTTATTCCAATAACGAAGAATACTGAAATAGGCTTTCAGATAGCTATATCAACACATTCTAACATGCTACTTAAAATAATCTTACATATTGCTAAAACTACCCACAACTCTCTATTGGAAATAGTTTTAAAGGTTTGTAATTTTGTTTTTAATATAATTACAATTATTAAGTTGAAAACATAAACTTTTCTTTAAAATATTTACACTGCAAAACAAGGTTTTAAAACTTTATTTTTTGTTAAAACCTTGTTAAAACCTTGTATTTACATTGCAAAGTTTTGCAATGTAAATACTTTATTATGCTACATGTTTCAAACATACAGCAATCAAAATGCAACAAATCAGGCCATTTATTTACAGTAGGCAAGAAATATCAGGCACAACAACTATTATGGAGTCAATAGCTGTTAATAAAATTCTAATTTTTTTCATTGCCAAATAAATGCTTATCATGTTTCTTTATTTAAATGGTTTCGTAGTGGTGAAAATTACAAATTGGAAAACTATAATATATTATAAAAATCATTGACAAAAATTTGGTATTAAGAAATTATTTTCTTCTTGTCAAAAAATGTACTTCCAAAAAGCAGTTCATTATCAAAGTGGTAAACAATTTGATGAAGATTAAGTAAATAATCTTTTTTAAAAAAGTTGTTTTTGTTTTTATGATTATAGGGCTTCAATAATTTATTCTTATGTTTTAAAATCATTATCTAAAGTTTACATAACAAGTTTATGTTTGAAAAAAAAAATTGATGACTATATTACCTCAATGCACAAATCTAAATTTAAGATAAGAGCTGTTGTTACCGATAACCATTCTACAAATGTTAATGCATTTTTGTAGTTTCACAAAGCATATACTGGAGATGAAAAATTATTAATTTATCATTTTGTTTAGAAAAGAAGTGTTTAAAACATACGTGTTATTCTCGGTTTTTCTTTTTTTATTTATTAAACAGGTAAGAAAAAACAAAATTATTTATCAAGTAACATATTTTGGAAACAACAAACAAGTTGTCAACATTGACAATATTTGACGAAACAACTGCAGCTGTAATTTAGAGTTATTTTTCTGAAAGTAATTACGCAGCACAATTTTTATTATTGTTTTTTTAATAATTTTTATTATTGTTTATATATATATATTTATATATATATATATATATATATATATATTTATATATATATATATATATATATATATATATATATATATATATATATATATATATATATATATATATATATATATATATATATATATTTATATATATATATATATATATATATATATATATATACATATATATATATATATATAAATATATATATATATATTAATATACATATACATATATATATATATATATATATATATATATATATATATATATATATATATATATATATATATATATATATATATATATATATATATATATATATATATATATATATATATATATATATAAAAGATTTTGATGTTAAACTTTCGAACCATAAACGTTACTTTATAGAGAGAAGAACCTACATATTTAATTCAACCTCTGTCTCATTTTATTTATCATCATTTTATTATTTTATGTTATTTCCCTTATTCTAATAAAACATTGCAGTCAATTTTTTTCAATTAAAAATTTGATCTAGCAGTTTCAATTTTACAAATAAAAACCACCAAAAATGGGGAATCAAAAAAGATCTCGTATTGTTAATAATATTTTTTATAATAAAAAATTACATATTCATTGAGAAAAGATCAAGTAAAAGAATTCGAAAAAAGACAAAATAAACATTTCTTCTTTTAATTTCAATTATAAAAAATACAAAATACAAACCTTTTTTTTTGTTCAATGGAGAGTTTTAGAAAATCTTAGCAACATGAAAGATTATATTTAGTAGCATGTAGGTATGCGTTGATATAGTTATCTGAAAGCCTACTACAGTATTCTGTGTAGTTGGAATAAACTGAAGCAGGCAATCAGATAACTGAAAATCCAGCACAAAATAATGTAAGTACTCAAAGA